CTGTACTTCTGAGGTTAAACAAATTTTCATAATTAATTTAAATAAATTACAAGTCAAAAAGGGAGTGGAAATTTCTCTTTTTTTGTATCAAAAAATATAGAGACTAAAGTATTGAACCGAACCGAATTGTGAATTTCCTGTATCGTTGTGCCCCTATTAAATACCCCTATTTTCAGATGTACACAAAAATAAAAATGTTTGAAATGTGGTGCAAATTAAAATGCAATTAAGTGTCACATTAAGGATGACAGGGAAATTTACTATAATTCACTAAAAKTAAAATATTATTTGTCAAAACTAGGGCTGCACAATACTGTAGTAGAAAATCTTGCAATGGCGATATTTGGAMATATTGTGATGGCGATATCAGGTGTAATGTTTAGTTTTTTTTCTTTCCTCACTTTCTAATTTGTACCTCTTACCATGTGACCTTCAGCACTTTTGACAATGTCATTTGTGTCTGGTGTGACTCTGTTCTGCTGGSTAAATATTGCGATAGCATGAAAAATACAACTCCTAAATTCTTCAAATACATTAGTCACCAATTACTGCACTCCAAGCAGTCTTTAGCGTTATGAATATTGCGCACTGTGATATTGCGTTTACGATATATTTGCGATGTTGTGCAGGCCTAGTGAAGATAGAGCGCATTATTTATTTTTAAACCAACAAACATCAATAGCTCATTCTCAAATGTTTAGCACAAAATTAACAAAAAAAATTTCATTACTGAATATGTTACATCGGCTAATTGCTACTTGTTATTAGCGTCAAATAGAAAGTTGAATGCCTGAGTCGGATACGAAAGGATCACTTAACCACTAGTGTGGCCGTGGTATCACACTCGTCCAGATCAGCTTTATAATTCCTCTGTGGCTGTTTTAAGCATGAGCCCATCTAGAAAGTCTATTCCTGGCTCCTCTGTGCWCTACAGCTGCTTTCTGCACAACTGTGTAGATTTTAATAGTTGCCTAGTCAGCAGCATGGAGCTGTTTTATCTCAGTCCAAGCCTTCATTTTCGACCCCCCACATTTACTTCTTYATTTCAAGCAGCCTCCTCGTCGCTGCCGGCTGAAGGCGACGGCTTGAAGGAGGGAAGAGTTCGGCCCGGAGGCTCGCCGCTCACCTAGAAGCCGGAGAGGAATTTCACGGGGAGGGGGGATAAGTTCGGTGCCATTTTTGTGAGCAGGCAGCAACGTGAGACGGCAGAATGCAACCCGGTGGGTAAACTTACAACTGTTCCCTCCCAGAAGTCGCCAGGACCACCAGTCCGCCTCCCCGCCCCTCCTCTGCTTATGTACAGACTTTCAGCTCAGTTGAAACCTCTCCTGCTTGTCATCAAAGCAGATTATATTGTTTCTCACACCCGGTGCATCATGTTGGAATCAATTTGTCAGACAAGCGCTGYCGCCTTAATTACCGCTCGCACCCATAACGCTGTGGATTTGGTGCCGTCTTGAAGTTACAGGATTTCAAAAACAAGAGCTGAAAATCTTGGTCACAATCAAACAGAAGCAATAATGTATTACTTTACCACAACCTCTTTATTTTTTAAAGGGATCCCTGATTAGTTGTAACATTAGACTTTATTTGATAAACATTTATTTTAACTGTAAAATAAAGAC